CGAGATCGCGCCACTGCACTCCAGCCTGGGGCACAGAGCAAGACTCCGTCTCAAAAAAAAAAAAAAAAAAAAAGAAAAAGCAGAGGTTTTAGAATGGGATCAACCTACATTTGAATCCTTGCTTTGCCACTTACAAGTTAACTGGCCAAATTAAATGAGCTTCCATTTCCTTCTGTGTAAATTAAAAACACTACCAAGGTTATTAAAAAAACTAAAGCATGAGGTACAATGTCTGGCATATAATGGGCACTCAGTAGAAAGCTCCTAATTTTTTACCTAGAGGTTGAATTCAATGGCCAATTCAAATAAGATACAAATTACTTTAAAGCAACTGATGAATATAGCCTTAGTAGAGTCTAAAGTATCGTGGCTGGGTGCAGTGGCTCACGCCTGTAATCCCAACACTTTGGGAGTGTAGAACTGGGAGGATGGCTTGAGGCCCAGAGTTCAGACCTGGCGCAGTGGCTCATGCCTGCAATCCCCAGCACTTTGGGAGGCTGAAGCAGAAGGATCACTTGAGGTCAGGAGTTCGAGATAAGCCTGGCCAACATGGTGAAACCCCGTCTCTACTACAATCCCTTGAATCCCGGAGGCCGAGGTTGCAGCGAGCCAAGATCACACTACTGCATTCCAGCCTGGGTGACAGAGCAAGACTCTGTTTCAAAAAAAAAAAAAAAAAGCGTTCAGGCCAGGCGCAGTGGCTCATGCCTATAATCCCAGCACCTGGTGGGACGATCACCTGAGGTCAGGAATTCAAAGACCAGATGGCCAACATGGTAAAACCCTGTCTCCACAAAAATATTTGCCGGGCGTGGTGGAACATGCCTATAATCCCAGCTACTCGGGAGGCTGAGGCAGAAGATCATTTAAACCCAGGAGGCCGAGGCTGCAGTGAGCCGATATTGTGCCACTGCACTCCAGCCTGGGGAACAAAGTGAGACTCAGTCTCAAGAAAAAAAAAAAGAGTTCAACCAGCCTGAGCAACATGGTAAGACCCCCATCTCTACAAAAAAAATTTTTTTAATTAGCCAAGTGTGGCCAAGTGCAGTGGCTCACGCCTAAAATCCCAGCACTTTGGGAGGCCAAGGCAGGCGGATCACGAGGTCAGGAGGTCAGGAGTTCGAGACCAGCGTGTCCAATATGGTAAAACCCCGTCTCTACTAAAAAATACAAAAAAATTGGCCAGGCATGGTGGCATGCACCTGTAGTTCCAGCTACTCAGGAGGCTGAGGCAGGAGAATCACTTGAACCTGGGGGGCGGAGGATGCAGTGAGCTGAGATCGCACCACTGCACTCCAGCCTGGGTGACAGAGCGAGATTCTGTCAAAAAAAAAAAAAAAAAGCACAAACTCAGTAGCCCTGGGTTCCAGCCTAGTCTCTGAAACAGACTGGCAGTCATGTCTCTATGCTGGATCTCAAGGTTTCGTTTGGATGAAAATATAGCTGGCTGGCTGCAATGGCTCATGCCTGTAATCCCAGCATTTTGGGAGGTCAAAATCAGAGGATCGCTTGAGCCCAGGAGCACGAGACCAGTCTGAGCAACATAGTAAGACCCCCACCTCTACAAAAGATACAAAAATGGGCTAGGCATGGTGGCTCATGACTGTAATCCCAGCACTTTGAGATGCCAAGGTGGGCAGATAACCTGAGGTCAAGAGTTAGAGACTAGCCTGGCCAACATGGTGAAACTCCTGTCTCTACTAAAAATACAAAAATTAGTCGGGCGTGGTGGCGGGTGCCTGTAATCCCAGCTACTCGCGAGGATGAGGCAGGAGAATCGCTTGAACCCAGGAGGTGGAGGTTGCACTGAGCTGAGATCACACCACTTCACTCCAGCCTGGGTGACAGAGTGAGACTCCGTCTCAAAAAAAGGGAAAAATAAGTTAGCCAGGCGTGGTGGTGTGCACTTGTAGCCCCAGCTATTTGGGAAGCTAAGGTGGAAGAACGCAGTGAGCTATGATCCTAGCACTGCACTCCAGCCTGAGCAACACAGCGAGACCCTACACTTCAAAACAAAACAAAACAAACAAACAAAAAAAACAATCTCCTGGATCCATCAGTAAACCCCAAAACTGCACATGAAAGTGTGCAATCAATATTAGTGCAAATTACAAAATATACTGGCTGGTCCGTTTTCCCGGATTAAACTATAAAAAAAAGGAAATTCAACTAGTCAATCATTAGTCCAATAAGAATTCCTTGAATTGCTGTATTTTAGAGTCACTGTGTTTTACTTCCTCAACATTTCCACAATTATTTTTTTAAGACAGGGTCTCGTTCTGTCACCCAGACTAGACTGCAGTGGCATGATCTTAGCTCACTGTAACCTCCACCTCCGGGGCTCAAGAGATCCTCCCACCTTAGCCTCCCAAGTAGCTGGCACCACAGGCACAAGCCACCATGCCCAGCTAAGTTTTATATTTTTTTTTTTGGTAGAGGCAGGGTTTTACCATGTTGCCCAGGTTCCTCTGGAACTCCTGCACTCAAGTGATCTGCCTGCCTTGGCCTCCCAAAGCACTGGGCACCTATAATCCCAGCTACTCAGGAGGCTGAGGCAGAAGAATTGCCTCAGCCCTGGAGGCAGAGGTTGCAGTGAGCTGAGATCGCACCACTGTACTCCAGCCTGTGTGACAGAGCAAGACTCCATCTTTGAAAAAAAAAATAAATAATAATAATAATAATAGGATCCTTTCACTTCAGAATATTCAAATGGAAAAGGTTCATATTAGGAATAGCTCCTCCAATAAAAGAAATTGCTGTTTCTAGGCACTGATAGCAAGAGACCAAAACTCAATTGCAATTCTCTACCAAAGAAAATTTTTAAAAAATAAAGCACTAACACAATGAGCACTTATCCATTCCATTTCCAAAATCAACTTACCTTCTGCACCTTCCTTTTGCAGATTTGAAATCCAGATTCTCACACAATCACTGGCCATCTCTTCTGTTTCATTCAACAGCATACACACCACTGAGTGTCTCTCACTATTAAATACATTAACAGAGTCCGGGCGAGGTGGTTCATGCCTGTAATCCCAGCACTTTGGGAGGCCAAGGTGGGTGGATCACCTGAGGTCAGGAGTTTGAGACCAGCCTGACCAACATGGTTAACCCCATCTGTACTAAAAATACAAAATTAGCCCCCAGTTACTTGGGAGGCTGAGGCAGGAGAATCGCTTGAATCAAGGAGGTGGAGGTTACAGTGAGCTGAGATCACACCACTGCACTCCAGCCTGGGCAACAACAGCAAAACTCCGTCTCAAAAAAAAATAAGTAAATAAATAAAATACATCAATAGAAAGTACACTCACCTTATTCTGCTTTCTAATTATGAAAACAGAAGTGCAGGCCGGGCGCAGTGGCTCATGCCTGTAATTTCAGCACTTTGGGAGGTCGAGGCAGGAGGATCGCTTGAGCCCAGGAGTCTGAGACCAGCCTGGGCAGCACAGCAAGACCCCGTCTCTATTAAATAAGTAAACAAACAAACATAAACAGAAGTGCAAATGCCCTAATCCAAAATTGTTTTTAAAAAAGATACTTGAGGCCTGGCACGATGGCACATGCCTGTAATCCCAGCCCTTTGGGAGGCTGAGACGGGTGGATAACCTGAGGTCAGGATTTCAAGACCAGTCTGGCCAACATGGTGAAAACCTGTCTCTCCTTAAAAAATACAAAAATTAAACCAGCGTGGTGGCGCACACCTGGAGTACCAGCTACTTGGGAGGCTGAGGCTGGAGTCTCAGCTACTTGGGAGGCTGAGGTTGGAGAATCGCTTGAACCCAGGAGGCAGAGGTTGCAGTGCGACGATATGGCACCACTGCACTCCAGCCTGGGGGACAGAGTGAGACTCCATCTCAAAAAAAAAAAAAAAAGATATTTGAGATTAAATAATACAGAGTAACTGCTCTCATCTTCCCCCTGCAAACACCATACTTTAATATGAAATTTTAAATGGCTTTTTTCCCCAAATGGGAAAGAAGGATTCCTGTGTCTTGATGGGAAAGCAAGCAGTTTAAGAGTAAAACATACTAATAAGCCATGGCAAACAGGTGAGATACCATCAGAGTGTGCGCTATTGTAGGAAACAGAATGGAAAGGCGTGAATGGGAGTCTCTGCACTTCATATCTGCAAAAGAAGAGAATAAAAAGGTTAACTCCAGATTTAGAACAGGTTTATTCCCCTGTTTAAAGCAGAGCCCAAAAACATTTTAAATCAAAAAATGAAAATGTGCTGGTTAAGCCAAATTTGTAGATGAACTCAACCTTCTTGTCCTTAGTATATAAACGGTATCCCAGGTGTTAGAAGTTATTTGAACATTTTTATGCTACACCACCTTGACATTAAAGGATTTTTTTAAAATCTCCAATCTCTTCTTTAAACTTTTCTTAAAACTATCATTAAAATTAGCAAAATATGCTTCTCTATTGAATGGTTAACCTAACGGGAATGACTTCTAACCGTAAGAATCACAGTTAAAAGGTTCATTTTAACAAATGCTCTTCCCCCTGTAAGGAGTGACAGGTAACCTTTTGGGATCCCCAATGTACACACCCCTTTCTCCAGCCCTGCTAAAGTTAAACGTTGATTTGAGGACAGACAAGTGCCTCCTCGCAAGCAATGCCTCCCTCCCCCTGTCCAACACGCCGTTCTCTGCAAAAATCCATCTGCATCTTGCATTAACCCACCCGCCCAGTGCCAGTGAGTCCAGGCCAAGTCGCAGAAGGCCAGGAGTGAGGGGTGAGACCTGTGAGCCCATCTGCACCCGCGCCCTCCCACCTGGTGGCACACCTGCCCCGCAGGCGCCCACCTGGGGCCGGGACCGCCCTCTCCCGGTCTCGCGCGCCTGCCCCACTCGGAGCGCGCGCCACGCGCCGCGCAGGACCAGAGGGCGGGGCCCCGGGCAGCAGGGAAGCGAGGGCTCGGGGAGAGGGGGCCGCCCGGGCTCACTCCCTCCCCGGGGACCCAGCGGACCGGAGCGTGCTGGGGGCGGGAGCGGTACCTTTTGGACAGATCCATGAGGACCCCGGAGAAGAGCTTCTCCCCGAGGCGGAACGACACGACGAGCGCGTCCTCAATGATGTGGTCCAGCGTGACCCGCACCTCCGAGCCCGGGATCAGTTGCGACACCGTGGAAACCCCGCCCGCCGGCGGCACGAGCGCCGGGGCTACGGGCTGAGGCAGCGGCGGCTCCTCGCGCTCCTCGGGTGCCGGGGGCTGCTCCGGTGGCGATGCTGGAGAAGGTGGAAGTTGGGGCCCTCCCTGAGGCGCGGCTGCAGCCGACTCCGCCACCCGAACGGACAGTTTCTCCTCAGCCTCCAGCTCCGGCCCCGCCGCCTCTGGGCTGCGGGCGAGCTCCCCCGGCGGCGGCGGTGGCGGCGGGAGCGGCGGTTCGTCGGCCTGAGGAGCGGACTGCTGCCCGTCGGTCTCGCCATCCGGCACAGACGCTTCAGTGGCCGTGACCGGGAGGGGGTCAGTGCCGGCCTCACTGCCGGGGATGGGCTCCATCTCCGGCTCGGCCTCGCCGGCGCCCCCCTCCCCGGGGGACGCTGCAGTCGCTGCCGCCTCTGCAGCCACGGCCGCCATTTTCTTCCTGGCTTCTCCCTCCTCCAACTCCGGCTGCAGCGGCGGCGGCGGCGGCAGCGCTGCTTGGTTCCCTGGGCCTTCCCCTCCCTCCCGCGAACACTTTCGTCCCGCCCTTTCCCTGATGCTCGTTTTTGGCACCTCGCCATTGGTTCCATTCTACACCCCTCCCGCACTTGTGATATTCCATTGGCCAGTGGTGGACGTCTATCATCTAGTGAGTCCATCCTTCCCACGCAGAGTAGGAACTTCTCATTGGCCAGATGTGTTGTCAAGTGTGGAATCTGAGTGGAGGAATAGGGGGCGTAATCCAAGGGGGCGGGGGGAGTCACAAAAGAGGAGCCATATACTCATCGCCTCTTGCTATTGGCTGGAAGAGGAAATAAAGTTTTATGGTTGGCTTACACTCCTGCCCATTATCAGTCAGGTCTTCGGAGGTGGGAGGAAGGAGGGAATCATGTGGCGTGCTACTTCTTTCAAAGGCGCCGAGGGGAGGAGTAGCTAGGGAATGCGGGAGGGGAGCCGCTTCCCAAGAATCTCTGCGCAGAGATCCTTAGAATAAATGTTATTTCTAGGCGCGGACTTCTTGCGACCGCGTGTGGGCACGACAGGCTTCTCTGGGAAAGACAACTAAAGTTTGAAATATAATCCTACCGACACTTTTTGAGTGCCTACTATGCTAGTCACTGCACAAGGTGCTGGGGAATAGAATATTCAAGACGTTCTCCATAACCTCATGGCAGCTGGCTCACGGCAGCCACTCCAGCTGCCATAAGGAGTACGAGGAGTGTTTTCCTTGACTTCTAGGAGTACGATGAGTATTTTCCTTGACTTCTCTCCACTTCCTAGGAACAAAGCACCTACTTACTAACATTTCAAAAATAGGAAAATGCTCATGAAAGAGGAGAGACACCATCCTCACTGGATTAAACTGATGACTGTTCCAGAAAAGAGTCTTGAGACATTGCTGGACTGATATGTGAACACTGCTTGTTCTCTCCAAATACACTGCAAAGTGGACGCACCCGATCCCTGCAAAAGCCTTTATGTTTCCTGGCTTCTCCAATGCCAAGAGAAGAAGCTCTCTCACTTCAGTGTCCTAACGCCCCTACTTCTCTTACTCCCACGTCAAGTCTCTTCGTTTATCATCTCTGGAAGAATCTACTGAACCTATTTCTCTCAAATGGCACCTCAGAGTCAGCCTTTTTTCTGGGAGAATGCCTACAGGAGAGAGGGAAGAAAAGCTGCTAGCATTGAGAGTAAAAAAAATAAAGTCCTGAAGAATAATTACAGCTAGTGTCTTTTAAGTACCATGTACCAGGCACTAATACAAACACTATAGCATATCATCTCAATCCTTAAAATTTCGAGGCACAAAGAGGGTGCCCAAGGTTACTCGGCTGGTAAAATGCATAGTCAGAATTTCGGTTTTACACGGAAAAGACTGAAAATAGCAATAAACAAATATCACCATATGCTCTGCCTATTTCAAACCAAGTGGCTCTTGGGGAAAGGCCAGTAGAAGATCCCAATCAGGGAAGTTTCAGAATATCATTTAAAAATACACACAAAAAAAAATGTATTTAGTGTTCATTTTGTACCAGAGATTTTCCCAAAAGCTCTCACTTAAAATCCTGTGACTTAAATCTTCTCCTGCTTTTACAGATGAGGAAGCCAAGCCTTAGCCATGTTAAACATCCTAAGCAGGCCAAGCGCAGTGGCTCAAGCCTGTAATCCCAGCACTTTGGGAGGCCGAGGCAGGTGGATCACCTGAGGTCGGGAGTTTGAGACCAACCTGACCAACACGGTGAAACCGCATCTCTACTAAAAATACAAAATTAGCTGAGCGTGCTGGCGCATGCCTGTAATTCTGGCTACTTGGGAGGCTGAGGCAAGAGAATTGCTTGAATTCGGGAGGCAGAGGTTGCAGTGAGCCAAGATCTGGCCATTGCACTCCACTCTGGGCAACAAGAGTGAAACTCCATCTCAAAAAAATAAAAATAAAAAGATAATAAGATCTTAAGGGTCACACAGCTAGCTAACAGCAGATCCTATCTAACCTGGGTCCTTCTAAGCACGTGACTTTCACTCAGTCATTCATTCAACAAAGAGTTATTTCCTTCAGACTAGATACTTGCAGTAAACAGACATAGATTCTGCCTTATAGGGTTTTCACCATAATACTTTGTCTATAGCTCACCATAATCAACTAATTAAACACAACATATAGTCTATGAAATGCCTAGCCCCTAAGGTCTCACACTGTGTAATCTCCCACAGGGAGAAAAATATAGTTCGGGTCCTGGGACCTGATTACCTCTTGTAGTAATTCATTACAAGATGCTGCAATGAGTAATTTACATTTCAGATTCATAGCAGATTGTGGCATACCAAGCCACTGTCCTAAGCCACCATTTCATTCTATAACTCAAGAGCTTCTACTGGCTCCCAATGCTCACATGGAGTGTACCTTCTTCTGCTTGGCTTTCAAAGCCCTCTCTGTGTTCTCACCTTACCTTTCAAGGTCTCTTTTCCACTACTCTTCAAGCTTCCTAATACTAGAAAGATTTGGTCATATATTGTTCATTCACTTATTAATTCATTCAACAAATAAATATTAAAGGACTACTATGTTTCAGTGACTTGACTAGTCAGGCAGAAGGTATGAAATAAAGAATACAAAAGATATCACTTGAGTTCAGGAGTTCAAGACCAGCCTGAGCAACACAGGGGTTTCACTGTGTTGCCCAGGTTGGTGAATATATATATGAAAGATTTAGTAACTGCCCTCCTGAGGATTATTTTTCTAGTTGAGGAACTGGAAAATGAGCAAACAATGAATAAACAAGATGATCACAGACGTGAGAAATACCATGAGAGAAATAAACAGGGTGAGGGAATAGAAGTAGCTGGCAGAGGGGCTGAAAGGTGTCTCCTTTAGATAAGGTTGTCACAAAAGCCCTCTCTGAGGACTGGACATCTTAACTAAGACGCAAAGGAGAAGGCAGCCAGCTATTGACATTGCTGGATGAACATTTGGATCAAAAGGAACGGCAATTGCTTGAAGTTCTGAGGCAAAAGAGGGTTTGGCTTGTTCCAGAAACAGAAGGAAGACCAATCTGGTTGAGGAATGAGCAAGAAGTTGAGTAGATGAGGTTGAAAAGGAAAACAGGACCCAAATAATGTTTTGTACTGGAAATACCAAAGCAAGGGATTCTGCCCTCGGGGAGCTCCAAATCTAGTGGAAAGCCTGGGCCAGCCATAGTGGCTCCTGCCTGTAATCCCAACATTTTGGGAGGCCAAGGCAGGAGGATTGCTTGAGCCTAGGAATTTGAGGCTGTAGTAAGCTATGACCATGCCACTGCACTCTAGCCTTGCAACAGAGCGAGACTCAAAGGAAAAAAAAGAAACCTGGCTTTTACATTTGCTTTTGTAATCTATTCACCTCTGCATTCAGCCTCCTCCTGACATGGAATTGGTATGGAGGATGCCCTTGATATTTGTTTAATGGATGGCCACATGATATTTGTGGTTGACTAGGAGATTGGATGGATGGTTGATGGACTGGATAGATAGCTGGAGAACTGGACAGATGGTTGAATAGATGGATGGATGGTTGGATGAATAGATGAATGGCAGGGATAAGGAAACCAGCTGATTGCTGAAACAGATCCTCACTCTCATGAGCATACTTTCATCTCAAGTTCTGCAAGATACTATACTCTGGTGGCTAAAATTCAGTTGAAGTAAATAAACCTGTAACTGGTCAGGCTCGGTGACTCACGTCTGTAATCCCAGCACTTTGGAAGGCCCAGGCAGGCAGATCACTTGAGCTCAGGAATTTGACAAAATGCTGAGCAACATGGCAAAACCCTGTCTCTACAAAAAATACAAAAATTAGCCAGGCATGATGGTGTGTGCCTGTAGTCCCAGCTACTCAGGAGGCTGAGGTGGGACAATTACCTGAGCCCGGGAGATTGAGGTTGCGATGAGCCATGATTTCACCACTACACTTCAGCCTGGGCAACAGAGTGAGATGCTTTCTCAAAAATAAAAAATAAAGCCAGGCGCGGTAGCTCATGCCCTTAATCCCAGCACTTTGGGAGGCCGAGGCTGTTGGATCACCTGAAGTCAGGAGTTCAAGACCAGCCAGGCCAACATGGTGAAACCCCATCTCTACTAAAAATACAAAAAATTAGCTGGACGTGGTGGTGCTTGCCTGTAATACCAACTACTCGGGAGGCTGAGGCAAGAGAATCGCTTGAACCTGGGAGGCAGAGGTAGCAGTGAGCCAAGATCACGCCATTGCACTCCAGCCTGGACAACAAGAGCGAAACTCCGTTTCAAAAAAAAAAAAACAAAAAAAACAGCTGGGCGCGGTGGCTCAAGCCTATAATCCCAGCACTTTGGGAGGCCGAGACGGGCGGATCACGAGGTCAGGAGATCGAGACCATCCTGGCTAACATGGTGAAACCCCATCTCTACTAAAAAATACAAAAAAATTAGCCGGGCGAGGTGGCGGGCGCCTGTAGTCCCAGCTACTTGGGAGCCTGAGGCAGGAAAATGGCGTAAACCCGGAAGGCGGAGCTTGCAGTGAGCTGAGATCCGGCCACTGCACTCCATCCTGGGCAACAGAGTGAGACTCCGTCTCAAAAAAAAAAAAAAAAAAAATAGGCCGGGCACAGTGGCTCATGCCTGTAATCCCAGCACTTTGGGAGGCCAAGGTGGGTGGATCACCTGAGGTCAGGAGTTCGAGACCAGCCTGGCCAACATGGTGAAAACCTGTCTCTACTAAAAATACAAAAATTAGCTGGGCATGGTAGCACAGGCCTGTAATCCCAGCTACTGGAGAATCGCTTGAACCCTGGAAGTGCAGCCGAGATCATGCCACTGCACTCCAGCCTGGGTGACTGAGCAAGACGCGGTCTCAAAAAATAAAAAATAAAAATAAAAAATAAAACTGTATCTGACTTCCCAGTCATCCTCTGACTACCTATATGATCTCAGCATGATCTTAGGCAAATTGCTTAACCTATTTCTTCATTCGTAAAACATCGTAATAATAA